GTTTTTCTTTAGCATGGTGTAAACGGGGCCAGAAAACAATTGGTTGTGACAAACTTTATCTATGCCCGCATAAATTGACTTAGGACAACATGTCACACTGCGCAGGACAAATAACGCACGAAACTCATGATAGACAGACAGACCAGTTTCAAAGACGATGTAGAAGGCATGCCCATAACTGATCGTGGTTTGCTTTGAATCGATATCAATTAGTTTCTAGTTTTGTGTATCGGATGAGAAGCCCAAGTATTCAAGTGGAGGCACATTTTGAAAAATACTTTTGACCCGTCCAAATTACCACGTTGTACTAACCAATCGAGAAGTCGACTCGAAACTAGACATGTAAATCTACTTCACCAGTTAAGTTTAACCGAAGTCGACCATCATAGCCCATCGGTAGATCACATAAAAACAATAAAAGGAATTATTACATTCAACTGAGGTTTCAGGGTTTGCACATCGCAAAAATGTACGAGATCCCAAAACTGAATGAAGTGGAAATCCTATTACGATCATCTATAAAGAGATGCGTGGTGTAGCGATAGGAAGCTGGTTTGGGTCAACGGGCGGTGTTGGTCCAGAGGTAACGCCACTAAATTATCACCCCGGAATAACTGTGTTCGACATCCGGCTGTCTCTTACGGGTTGAGTGAATGCTGCAGTAGTTCGGCCAGTTCTGCTATACGGCACAGAAACTTGACCATTAACGAAACAGGATAAAAATAGACTGTCGGTGTTCGAACAGGGCTGGCTACGCAGCATTGCACGAATCTGGTGGGATAGCCGGACGAGCAATGCTGAGATCAGGCGCAGAGTATTAGGTAAATGCGGTCGCCCACTGGAGCAGGTGATCGACCTCCACAGATTACGTTGGTTGGGGCAGTTGTTACGCATGTCATTAATTAGGTTGCCACGGTGAGTGATGTTCACCTTCCTGAAAATCGTATCATCATATATTCAATAAAAAGAAGTAGAAATGAAAAATCATCAGGGCACAAAATGGAATAATTGCTGAATCCAGCCCCATCGTGCAGTCTTTGTCTTGATGACATACTAGTTATCGCACGCAGTGAAACATTATTCTACAAGTTAAACTCTCTGCACCCCCCCAAAAGAACTTAAATTATAATGCGAATAAGAGTCCACATCAAAGGTTACTGATTTTCTGCTCAAGCGGTTGTCGGGCAAGAAGTATTAACAAATTTACTGCAAGCTTTCTTGGGCCGCGTAGTACATGCACTTCAGGAGTTTTGGCCTCGTGGAATACGAGTGTGGTTTCGTGAGAAGTCCACTGAGTACGCCAACCGTATAACCCGTAAGCATTGCCGGATGAATAAGAGAGATAAATCCATGGGTTGATGGATAATGGCTACTCGATAACGTTGAGTCACAAGGATAGCGAACCGGTTCACTCCAGACCTACCTCCTTCATCAGAACAAACGAGGACGTTCATAACCATCTGATTTCAAAGATGAAGTAAAACACAGAATATCTCCTCGTCTAACATATGCCGCTCAGCTAGTGCCCTACGGGACATTTTGTTACATTACTCGAACTAACCTAAATTGATGAGAGGTTAGTGTCATCTCCAATTGTATGTATTCATTTCAATGTACTTGTGGTAGCCTACAAAGCCTCGTATCGCCTTCAGCCGCGTGAAGAAGTGCCCAACTGATTTATCCTTCAAAAGAGACCCCTGTGGTGCGCAATGCTATTAACCCCACATCGAGCGCTGTCACTAAGATACACTCAGTCGGACTAGTATATTGCTAGAGTGGGCTGTGTAAGATCAAGATAGCCTTCAGATTTCGAGGTCACGGCGGGGGTCCCACTTTGAACGATGAAAAGTATCTGCTGGCTGTGATTGGAGGAAACCAGACTGCTAATTTAATGTCAAAACTTTCAACGAGTTTCTAATCCCCGTGGTTCCAGAAAACCCGCTTGAGAACCATGACTGCACAACGCGAAAATACCTCTATGCAAAGAGCCCATCTCACCGGAATGGCATCAGGGTTTTTGGCCTGGGCAACCTGGCAGTATTCAGCCCGCAAGCCCAACATGGAACGTTTTTCTTTCTATAAGGATTATTGTACCACGATTTGCCTGGCACACAGTCTGTCCTCAGAGAAGTATAAAATATGATAATAATATAAGCGGAACGGCATTACTGCACGGAAACATTGAGATGATGGAGTGGACAGTCCACAGCCCAGAATTGAACCTCAAAGGAAAGGTCTGTGGTTGAAAGCCTTTCGTGCACTATCTATTTTCTTGTGCTATAGAAAAAAAGAAGTTTTGAAGCAAACATCACTCCATGAGTGGGTCATCAGAAGGTTTTCCGCTTCACATTGGTCGATAGACTACTATGATCAGAAATTGTCATGGTTAAGGAGTTTGTGAACAATAGACAAACAAAGTAAAACAGTAGGGATGAGTCAGCGAACCAGAGCATATTATTTGGGGCGAAGAGGAGGAAGAGCAAATGAGGTCCAGAGTACGTTCAGATTGATTGCTGCTTAAAGATACCAAGTGAAGTCAAATAGTAAGTCTCTTAAGTACTGATATATCACCGGAGGACCTAAGTCAATATGAATATTCTTTTCGTCATGGGATGCACTGCATTCATTTACCAACACAAATCAAATATGGTATATATGCGTCGTCCTCTGGAATAGGCACTTAACAGCACACTGGCACGTTTGTTATTCATTTGGATCACAACTAGCAGTGATGCATTCCGGGGGCACCAAATTCAATGTACAAGCTAGTGTACAGTTCACTTTGTATGGAGAAATGAACTAAGATTGGCATATGCATTGCAATCATCGTCCTCTGAGAGAGAGTGAAAGTCTACAAGTGGGAATATATAGCCTAAAA